CAGGGTGATTCAGAATAGCTGCACAGCCCAATGTCCAGCGGCCAGTGAATGGATAAATAAAATGTGGTCTAGTCATACAGTGGAATATTACTTGGCAATAAAAAGGAATGGAGTACTTATATAGGGCTACAACACAGATCAACCCTGAAAGTAACCCTTCATTGTGTGAAGTAAAAGAAGCCGGATACAAAAAAGTCACACAGTGTGGGATTCCATTTACATGAAATGTTCAGAACAGGCGAATCCACAGAGACACAAAGTAGGTTAGCGCTTGCCCCGGACCTGGGGAGAAGGTGGGGGCGGATTGAGAGTGGCTGTTAACAGGTCTGGGGTTTCATTCTGGGGTAACGGAAATGTTCCAGAATTGGATAATGGTGATGGTTGCACAGTCTTGTGAATATACTAAAAAAAGAAAAAAATCACTTAATTGTACATTTTAAAATGATTAATTTTATGTTACATGAAATTTTATATTTTGTGAATTATATCTTGATTGGGAAAAAAAACCCTAATGGCCTGGCGTTCGTCTTACTGTTTTGTATTTGCATCTTACTTAGCAAAAATTTAAAGGCACTGTTTCCAAGTTAAAAGGCACCGTTCGTTCTACAAGTGTTGCTCAACTCCCCGTGTTAGCCTCCACCTAGCTTTCGATTCACTCTAACTCCCCCCAGGCAGACATGGTCAGGTCAAAACCCAAGATGAAACACACACTGACTTTGGGTAATGTTTAGAAGCTTTTTTTGTTTCTATTTTAAATATAACTACCGTCTGGGCAACACTTGTGCATGTAGACGGTGTAGTTCACCATAAGAGAATTTTCAATAGTACAGCAATTCTAGTCTGCAAAGATGTCTACGGTGAAATACTCTCCTGAGTGGGTTGGAGCAAATTGCCGCTCTGTTGTGGTTAACGATGGTTCCTCCGCCTTCCTTTCCACTGCCTTCACGGACCCTTTCAGGGAACTTGCTAGAATCTCATCCCCCAGATACATGCTTCAACTGGCTGCCAAACGCATTTTCGCACGCCCAGCCCCTCACGCAGTGTTTTGTGTGTGCTACGGATACGAAACATACAAAAATGCTAATGGACTCAACTCATTCTCCCTTCAGAGCACAGAGTCACAGGCTGTGCCTGCCGGCTCTCAAGAAGTATGGCGCTTTGTGTAGCCCGACGTTGCTGGTCGGAAGCCAGGACACTCTATGTTCACGGGGAGCTGGGAGAGAGCTTTAAGTAGATTACTCTTATCAATTAACAGTAAGTAAACAAGCAGCTTATGACCCGCCCACTGTTGGCAAAAATGAACATCGCTATGATGGTTCTTTGAAAAAGGAATAAAGAAAGGAACAAACCCATCTACTCAATTAACATTATGTGCTTTTGTCTTCCTTTTACAGACAAGAAATTGCAAAGTTGTGGTAAGAACAAAACAGTGTCTGGGAGTGACACGGATACTCAGTATCCAAACATGCGTAATGTTCGGTGGCCAGAGGCTGAAGTGGAACGCAATTTTTTGGTAGAGCATTTTCTCAAACGCTTGATTTACCTACATTCGCTCAACTGAGTGAGCGAGCTGAAAATAAAATATCTGACTCTCATTCCAACGTGTTCAAGGCAAAGGAAGCCCATTCCTTTCCTTCGGCTGGCTACGGATAATTATTCCACAACAGTCATGCCCTCAAAATTCTCCACGATGGAGGAAAGGCGCTAGGGATTTGTGGGAAATAAACCAAGGCGCCAATGTTTTGCTATATTTTATTTAGAAAAACAACTCGGGCACGGACATGGAGCTGTACCTTTTCTTCAGTGCACTTTTCAAATGATAATTTCTTCCACTGTCACCATTAAATCTTAATCCATTCCAGCTCCTTGCATGGGTCATTGAGTCTATATGTACTGCTGTTATTTTAAAATGTTTCCCCTTGGTAGGGAGAGAGGGGGAGACAAGACGTTGAGAGCCAGATGGGCCTTCTTCACAGTTCATTTATCAGACCTAATACGCGGGGCTCCACCCTCTTCTCTCTCACTATTGCTGTTAAACCTCCATATAATTTGGTAATCATTTTCATTATCGGAGAGTGACCCTCATGCAGCCTCACCCGGGACACCCAGTCCCTGCAGCTGCTCTTTTTCTGCCTTTTCCTACAGTAGACCCTAAGAACCTCAGGGTTTATTAGCTGCAGACTGACCTTTGGGCTGCAGAGGTCAAGAAGGGGTCAGATCAGAGGGCTTGCCCAGTTCTTTAAAAGCTATAACAAGCTGTCCATCAGGCAGAGTGGACTGTATAAACAAAGCCAAATCTTCAGAAATTCTGTACCACTTCTGTTAACACTTACCCGGCATTCACACAGCTTCTCCTGATGTACTTTGGATCATTCAGCTCGGGGGAAGTGAATAGACAGCCCTAATAAGCCTATTTGGAGAGGCTTGTTTCTGGGATTACCGAGCTTGGGGAAGGAAACCCACAGCATTCAGCTGTGCCTCTGGAATCGCAGGGCTGTGTGACACTGTGACAAACTCGGTTACCCCGAGTCAGGCAGAAGTGACACTTTCCTCAAAAAGCTAAATTACAGGGAACATATGCTTTCAGTTTAAGAGACTTCAGGGAGTCCCAAACAATGGCATGGCTCTTGGCCTAAGAGAGAGACAAGTATTTTAAAACCCAGTTACAAGTTCGGCTTTAAAATATTCTCCCTAATATCATTACTGCAGGGGAGCATGTGGGGCGGGGGCGGGGGCCCTTTATGACAATGGCCTCCCACGAAAGTCTCCGCTGACCTACATTTCTTAAAGTTGTACTATTCATAATGCATTCTCCAACGTGCAATAGAAGGTAATTAGAGTCATCTGTATTTAACTTTCAGAGGAAAAAATTTCTATTATCTAATCTAACTGATCCCCTGATAGCTTTGATGAAAGTAAAATACTCTAACCTATTGCTTGGCCTTTGGCGAGCGCTAATTATTTTCTGTCAAAGCACATTTTTCCTCGTGTAATTCCAAAGTACACAATGGGCCAATCTCTAAAACACAGGCGGCTCGGGGAGCACGGTGGTGGATGTTTTATAACTTTCACCACCACCAGCCTGATGGCTACTCGGGCCAGTGCCCGGTTCCAGACGGTCAGAGGATGCTTTGATGAGGAAAAGAGAGGTGTATGGTAACAGTCTGTTTATACAGATCATATGGATGAGTCTTTTAGATAGGTCACTGGGATGGGAAACATCAAATGGGGGTGGAGAAGGGGTGGGGGGGAGGATTATGGTTATTTAATACTCTGAAGACACTTTTCCTTCTGAGCTCTCAAGACATGACCCTCTTGAAATTTGCTTTCAGGTGTTTAGTTTTAAAGGGGCCTGCAGAGTGTCAGCTGCTAAGCTCTTTCTTTTCTCCTCCCCTACCACAAAGGACTTGAGAATTTCTGTTTCAGATGCTAGACTCCATCAACTTCAACACTGGCTCCAGCTCCTGATTAAACTGTTAGCAGTAAGGGCCAGAAATGCTGAAACCAGACTCCTTTTAAACAGGCCATTTTGGGCATGTTGTCTGATGATTTGGTGTACTAGGAAATTATTGTTAACAAACCAAATGCACTCAACAGAAGACATCCATCCTCAACATTTGGTCTCTGAGCTGTGCTGTCTTTGGAGGGATGGTGGGGCGGGGGTGGGGGGTGATGGAAAAGAGATTACAGGGAAATTCTTTCTTTCTCTCTTTGCTATTTAATAAGAATCACCCCGGGGGGAAAGATATAAAAGTTAAACACAGAGAGAAACACATCTTAGATGTCCCCGCACGGATATTCCAGTATTTAATAAAATATGCATACTTTAATGAATATATATGCTGAAGTTGGAATACAAGAAAAGTTAAATTGGAGATTATTTAATTACTGTAGCTGAAACTCTCATATACTCTGATCTGAGTATACTACAAAAAAGAAGGGAAGGGGAGAGTATCAAGGTGAATTTTAAAATTATTCTTTTAATGCAAGTCTGAGTTTAGAGATAATACATATACCTGAGCAGCAAGTTTCCAACACCCAGTCGGAATGCACAGTTCATACTCTTAACTGTCTCCTTTCTTGGAAAATGCTCATCTTTAGCCTTGTTCAGACAAACCAATTTTCATGATAACTGTTACTAGTAAAGCCACCAATTATTACAAACTCTGCTGCATGAACTCATTTGGAGAAATATTATGTCTATCAATGTTCTTGACTCCCAGGCACACAGGATTTTTAAGCCTCAAATAAGACTCAGAGACAAAAATTCAGCATGATCTTCCTGATTCCTCTCCCTCTTGCTGAGAGACAGATGATAATTCAGCAATTTTTACGAAGTGCAGATCTAAAGGGTAACCCTAACGTTTGGGGGAAGTAGTTCCTGCCTTCCACCCATCAATTGTTTCTCAAATAAGAGCAGGATAACAGAATCTAGAGTACGCAAGCCTCAATTCTGCAAAAACTCATGATTTACAGAACCTTTGTACCAGTAGCAGCTTTCTAACCACAGGTAAGTCCATAAGCAAAGAAACTAGGTTGAAGCCAACATAATTCCTACTTGGCCAATTCTAAAACTGGGATTTGATAAATCGACCACTTTCAAGCAAACTGCCTCTCACTGAGTGATGTAGGAGCACCGTGTGAATTTCCCAGACATCTGCCCTAACTAGGCAGCAATGTTAGTCTTTTAGAGTGGTGATTAAAAGGGTCCTTCGGCATCAGCTACTTCTATTCTGTTATGCTCAGGATGCAACCACTGATGCGAAACATTACACTCAGGGATGAATCATACACACCTACAGATGACATTATGGCTCATTACAATTAATGTAGTAGGTACCGTGTGCAGGAGAGCTAACTTTGGCTGAGAGCATCTGTAACTTGCTGATTTTTCATGGCCCCTCCAATGAGAGGCGTAAGACGCGTCGTGAGGAAGGGCTCAGCGGAACACATCGCGGTGTTTTCAGGGACGACAAATCCCATTTCATCAGAGAACTGACCTGGTGTGCCACTCCCTCCTCAAGTTTTGACGTGTGGTGAGCAAGGCAAGGATGGCAGTCAGGAGTTCATTCCTTTGTTCCACGGGGACCCCCTCTCTTCTAACTTCATGAAGCACAGCATTTGTCTAGAAGGAATGGTCCAAAAAAAGAGAGAGCAGGAAAAATTAATAATAAAAAAAAAAGCCCATAAGCAAATAAGGACAGTAAATCAATGGCTTTTTTATTACAGTTCCCCTGCTAACAAATCAATACAGTAAATGATGGTCAAAAATGGCCAGCATATATTTTGTATTTAATCAATATACAAGGCACATAAGGTAAACTCAAAAGCTTCATTGCCTTAAGTAACACATCGAGATACTGTGTGTTCTCACTCCAATTTCCTCAGTGCACCACCAGTCTTTTTCCTGGGAACTGCCTCCCATGAGCTATTATTAGAAATGATTTTCACGTACACTTCACTGTGAGTTGTTTGTTTTGCCTTTTAAAAAAGAGCAGTCTCTGACTTTCGCTCGCTCTGTTTCCTGCCACCCAACTGAGGATTTCTGCACTGCCTCTCCTGTTTGAATCATTAATTTCTATTTCCAGCCACGCAAGCAATTTTTTTTTTTTTTGGTTCACTCATTTTCCTTGCTTGTTGCAAATCAAAAGCTTGCAAAGAAAGAAACAATAAGAGTACTAAAATCAAATTCAGTCTCAATGAAGGCTTCCAGCTTTAAAAATCCACGACATATTTCAAATGATATGTACAGGGATTCTTGTGCATAGCAGCCTTCCGATTTGAGGAAGAATCACCTACTCTATGGTCACGGGTACGGTCCTTAAGAGAAATTAGGCTCACAGGTGAGTACAAAAACACTCCAGCTTCTACCGAGCATTGGAAAACATCAGATGTTGCCTTTAGAAATAGTAGAAGCCCTACACATCATACCCTGCTCACCCTAACAAGGAGCATTACATCAAAACTCAAATCTGAAAGTGTCATTTCAATTTTATCTACAACGCACTCCTGTATGCTTGTTTTGCACGCATGTGTTTTAAATGTGCAAATTCATGTAACGTAAGAAACAATTAAGAAAACAATACAGAGGATTCTATTCGCACCTGAAATGTGAGCGAGCAAATGCCTTTCGAGTTTTAATGCTAGAACTTTTCATTGCACATTATTTATCTTCATGTAACTAGAATAGAAATCTTGAGAATTTAGGCATGTTTTTCATTTAAAGTTGGTGTGGCTTCTTTGGAGATGTTATACCCAAAGCAAATGCTAAAAGGGATGAACCTGTTACTTTCTTTGTACTGGTGCTTATCTGACTGATGCCAATGCCTTCATTCACTTAAAGAGCACACTCACCATTTGGTCCTCACGTAACTTGAAATACTACTTCCTTACTCCTCTATGGCATTCGGCAGTGTATACCGAATGCCGTCCATGACAGCCTTGAGAAGAGGTGTAATGAACATCTGTTGTCTGGCTGCCTTCTATCCAGACCCCGTCCCCCTTTATGTAACAACATCAAACCTTCTCTTAGGGAAGTCTTTTATTGTATGCAGCCTTAGAGAGACTGCCAATGAAATAAAGTGTCCCGCTCTCTCCCATGAAGGATGTGGGCCAGGCCAACCTGATTCGCTTTTCCAGGACTTGAGACACTTAAGAAGAATGACAAAGAAAGGGAAAAAACTTGGAGGCCATTTATCAATTTCCTTAGTTCCTACCACCCGTGGTCCTCAAAGTATTCCTGGTTTCCTGAACTTTCTGAGTAGAGATCATTCCTCTTCTTTGGATACCATGGAGTTATCCAATATCCTCTGAATCAAGTCCCATTTGGTTCAAATTCACCAGAATCCGTTTCTGTTGCTTACAGTCAAAAACCCTAACTGATACAGAAAGATAAGATGGGAAATAGTATCTCCTCTGTTAAAGGACCCAGGATAATGTAACTAGCACTAGCCCAGAAAAGGACCCTGATCTCTGCCTCGTGGGTCCAGAATTACATCTACTAGACCAGGCCATATACCCAGTCAGACACTCTGAGCTTCGAGGGCAATGACATTTTTAGCCCTCTAGCACAGGAAGGCATGCTCATATTCTCTAGGTGCTTCTCCCGCATGAAGCCCAGGCTCCAAGTGGCTAAAGCAGGAGTTGCAAATGCAAATACCCACCAGAGCCAGAAAGGTAACATGAATGAGTTAAGCAAGATGACCTGATGAGAGCATGTGCTCTGCGCAAAAAAGGCAGTCACCGTTCAGCAACAGCCAACTCCACCATTCTGAAAAGCTGTCTCGGTGGTGCCGGATTCGTGAATTTTCAAAATAAGCAAGAAATCTGTCTTGATTTTTTTTTTTTTTTTACGTGAGATCTCCTGACTTGTACATGCTGGAAACTCATTTTTTTAAACTGTTAAAATACCACGTGGCCAAACAAGAAACGCCAGTGACTGAACAGAACTCAGGCAGCTGCTCACTGGTGACCTCTAATGTAAAAGACGTCTAATTTTGGAGAGGTGCCGGCATCGATGGGTACTCTGGCAATAGCAGCGCCCCTTGTCTGTGATGCCCTAACTCAAGTACTTAAAGTTGGAAGGAACCTCAGAAAGTCTTGTAGTTTATCACTATGTCTATAGGTACATATTATTTTCCCAAAATAATCAGCAAAATGTTTCAAATGGAAAAGTACACATCCAAAGGACTCCAAGGACATAAATAAAATAAATTCTCCTTGTAACTGTATTAAAATAACTTTTTTAAAAAAGTCATTTATCTCCTCTTTACCTTTTGCATCATTTAAATTTTATCCAGAGGCCCTTGGTTTCCCTGATCAGCCTCTGAGAGGCGAAGGAGAAAGGATTTAAGAAAGCAAGTTTCACAATGTCGGGGACCCTGTTTATTTCACTACTGCATCCCAGTGCTTGCTTAATGATTTTTTATAAATATCTGTCAAATCAGTAAATAAAGAAGGAACTTGAAAAACGAGTATTGCAAAAACTAAGAGCAAGAGAAGACTGTCTTTTGAGACTTTACTATTAGATAAACTTGTAAACTCATACAATATACTAAGAGACAGTTATGTGCTTTACCAAGGTGCTCTCTCCACTTGACAAAAGGCTCCACTTCGAGGTCTATTTAAATAAATAGTCCCAGTAGTGCAGAGTCTCCCGAACTTCAGTCATTCTAGCACAGTCTCAAAATTCTTGCCACGTTTGTGAATGAGGTATACAATATTTGATATTTTTATTTCAAATGACCCACATTTTAAAGTATAAAATAAATTAGCTTCAAAAGAAAATTGGAAAACCACTGGTACCTGTCTTAAATGAAAAGATAACTGCAAAAATAGGGGTGCCTGGGTGGCTCAGTTGGTTAAGTGGCTGCCTTTGGCTCAGGTCATGATCCCAGGGCCCTGGGGTCGAGCCCCACATCGGGCTCCCTGCTCAGTGGGGAGCCTGCTTCTCCCTCTCCCTCTGCTGCTTCCCCTACTTGTGCTTTCTCTCTAACAAATAGAATCTTTTTTTTTTTTTAAAGATAACTGCAAAAATAATATATTAAAAACAAGACTAGGAGTGCCTGGGTGGCTCAGTCGGTTAAGCAGCTGCCTTCGACTCAGGTCATGATCCCAGGGTCCTAGGATCGAGCCCCGCATTGGGCTCCCTGCTCAGCAGAGAGCCTGCTTCTCCCTTTCCCTCTGCCTGCCGCTCTGCCTACTTGTGCTCTCTGTCTGTCAAATAAATAAATTTTTTTAAAGATTTTATTTATTTATTTGACAGAGAGAGACACAGCGAGAGAGGGAACACAGGCAGGGGGAGTGGGAGAGGGAGAAGCAGGCTTCCCGTGGAGCAAGGAGCCCGATGTGGGACTCGATCCCAGGACCCTGGGATCATGACCTGAGCCGAAGGCAGACGCTTAATGACTGAGCCACCCAGTCGCCCTCAAATAAATAAATTAAAAAAAAATCTTAAAGAAAAAAAAAACAAGGCTATATGTTGATTTCATTCTAGATAGATGTTGCTTGCTGAAGGCTCTGGAACCGAAGCCTACTGTGTCATTGTAAATGAGGCCACTAACAAGTCTTGGTGAAAGTTAAAGACACGAAGACCTCCTTGACACAAAGATGTGGACTGAAAAGGAGCTGAAAAGGGGGTCCACTTTCTCAGTGTGATCCCCACTATCTGCGGAGTCCTGGAGCGCCACCTAGCGTTCCCCTGGTTAACACCCATGGTCCACATCCCAAGCTCTGGATGCACCACCTTACTACAATGATCTTCCAACACTTCACAAATAAAGCTCTTTTTTCTCCAAGTGTATTCTTACAGGGAACTCAATATATAAAACAAAACAAAACTGGAGCAGTTCTCTTTGAAGAAGCTGCTATGGAGGACCTAAAAACTCCCTTTGTCATGGGGCATCTCTTCAAAACCCCAAGGAACTATGAAACACAATTTGCCAACCTCAACCGAGAGCATTTAAAATAGCATTCAAATTTTTTAAAGTTTATACATTGTTGGTGGGAATGCAAAACACCGCCATTGTGGTAAGCAGTTTGGCAGTTTCTTACAAAGTTACACATACACACTTAACAATATGACCCATCAATCCCATTTCTGGGGATTTAGCTAAAGAAATAGAAGCTTATGTGCACACAAAAACTGGTACAAAAATGTTCATAGCAGCTTTATTCATAACTGCCCCAAACTGGAAACAACCTCAATGCCCTACAAAGGGTAAATGGATAAACACACTGTGGTACATCCACACAAAGGAATACTGCTCAGCAGTAAAAAAGGACAAGCAATTGATAGACGCAGCCACTTGTCTGAATCTCAGTCATACTGAGTGAAAGAGGCTGGTCTCCAAAGATTAAACACTGTGTGATTCCATATACTTAACATTCTGGAGAAGGCAAATTACAGGGATAGAGAACAGATTAGTGGTTGCCAGGGATCAACATAGGTGAGGGTTTGTTACAAAGAGGCAACATAAGAGAATTTTTGGAATGACGGAACTATTCTGTATCCCCACTGTGGTGGCGGTTACGTGAGTTTATACATATGTTAAAACGCATAGCACTGTATATCCCCAAAAGTCCATATCATCATATGAAATAAAATTTAATTGTTAAAATTCATTT